TTAAATGGTGCTGGAGCAGCTTCAGTCTGTGACACACAAGTTCAGGGGGRTCAAGCAATGAGCCTCATGGCAACCACTTCAAGTCACCAGGAAGGGCTGGGTTCAGGGGCTTTTCGTGGAACATGTCTTGGTTTAGGGTCACAGAGCTGAAAAATAAATTCCATTCTATTGGCACCTTCCCCCTGAACTTCCCTTTTCCCAATTTATTTGATGCTCCTGGGTTTATTCTTTACCTCTGCATGATCCAGTGTACTTGGCATTGTCAGGAGAAAGCTATTCAAATTTTATTCAAATAGAAACGAGTAGTTCAAAGATAAATACTTCCTAAAGGCATCTTCATCCCTCCTTCTGTAAGTTGCTGAGCTCTTTTATCTCTGTCAATATTGCCTGGGGGTCCTGTCAGAACAAGACCAGGACATACAAGGTAATTATGTCAAGGTGTCCAGCCAGAGACAGACAGGGACCAAGTAGCTGGAATGCAGACAAGCCCATGGAATGGGCCTTGACATGCCAGATGTGTTTGCCCACATGTAATGGACTTGTGTGCAACAGCCCTGGCTGTGTCTCCTCCATGGCAGCCTCTGCTCAGAGGAGCCATGGATCAATCCTGCCCCTCCAGCTGAGGCACGGGAGGAACTGCCCAGCACCTTCCCCTGGCAGTGGGGAGAGCTGGGACAGGAGCCTGGGGCTGCACTGGGACACACAAAGGCCAGGGCAGGAGCACAGCTGCCCTCGATTTTCAAAGCATCGGTATTAGTGCTGCCTTTGGGTTGCAAATGCTGCTGTCTACAAACTTACATGTTATTATAAACAAAGAAAAACAAATCAGTTGATTTCTGATTGTTTTCTGCACTGCCAGCTGCAGGAGCTAGAGCAGCTGTGGGGTGGCTGGTTTGCATTCTCTAACTTTTCTCTTCTAGACATTCCTTTGGGGCTCTTCAAAAACATGTACTGAGTTGTCCTTGCCATTACAWAGCCAGCACATAAACATTGTTTCATATGGAAATTAGCATTTGTTTTTCAAACCTTGCTTTAATTGCAAAGATCAAATGCGTGGAGCACTGACCCATTTGAGCCGAGGAGGTGCCACGGAGGTGCCACAGAGCTGCCAGGGAGGTGCCACGCTTGGCAATTCCCTTCCATCCTTGCTCCTCTGCAAGCTGAGCAGCTCCCTCAGTAGAGCCAGCTGATTGTGCCACCCACCTCGATCACATTTTGTCCAAACCCTTTTACCTGCTGATGTGTTTTATCCTTCCTGGGCTAGGGTGAGTCCTGATCCTCTTTGCCCAGAGCAGTTTGCCCCCGGGGGGAGGATGGGGCTGGCTCTGACCCCAGCTGGGGCAGCTCCCYTTGCTGCAGGGACATGTGGCAYTGTAGGTCTCCTGTGCCATGGAAATGCCAGTCCTGGCTCAGAGCTGCCCCATAGCACCTGCTCTGGCAAAGGGGCTGTTGGACTGGRTGTGTTTGGTGTTTCTGTCCAGCCTAGAACTGGGCTGGATACAGTGGAAAATAACAGAATAGGGCATGGCCTGAACTGGGGACAGAGAGAGCTCTGCCCATGGTGATCCCTGAGCACTGCTCAGCATCCAGCTCTGCCCTGCTACCCCTGGGTACCAGCACAGGAAGGACCAGGCAGAGCCTGTCAGCCTGAACACTGAARGTGTGTTGAGTGCTGCTGTATTAAATTAATTGAGATAATCCCAAGAACAGATGAATTTTTTTTTCTTTTTATTTCATGCTTTATTCCATACAGCTCATTCCTCCCTAGAAACATGGTGTTTGGTGTCAGTTAAACAAATCCTGGCTTGTTGTTCAGGTGTATTATTTATTCCTTTGCATGAGAACTGACAGTGTCTTGCCAGCCTATTTGGCCAGGCTGGTGATCCCACAGTTGAGACCTCCTGTATTTTGAAAATCATATCCATAGTATGGTTGTTGTTGAATAGAGAAAATTTAAGATATTAATGGATGGYTTAAAATACCAGCTGAGGATTCTGTGGTGTTCAGAATCTGAGGATTCATTGCTTTCAGTGACTTTGAGCAGAACCATGTGGCCCTGTGAGCTGAGTGTGTCAGCCCTATGTACTGTTAATGCTAGGTCAGGCTTGCTCTCCTGTCTTCTCATCAAGATACCAAGATGTGACAGCTCAGGACTGTGTGGTATTAATGCCTTCACATCATCAGTGCTGTTTGTGTGATCATCTCAGTGCTACAGGAAGGCCAGTCAGTCTCTCTCTGCTCAGGGCCACGGTGTGTGCCAGCCTCCCCATCCCACTTGGAGCACTGACCCACACTGGCATATTTAGGCACACAGCAAAGGTGTTTTGGTTGAGGAAGAGCCGTGTTCTTTATGGGCTGGTCACAGTGTGTGTTGCAAAGCCTGCTGGATGCCATTCTTGCAGAGGTTCAGCAGCTTGTGCCCGTTTCCTGAGCAGCAGCCATCCCTTCCCGCAGGGATGTGCAGCTCAGCAGGGCATGGCAGCAGTGCTGTGTGACCGGGGTGGGCTCAGGGGAGTGCCCAGCACTGTGGTGAGATCAGAGCATTTCATCAGCTCCTCCTCRCCCTGCTCCTGCTCTCCCTCCCCGMARCAGGAGCTGGGCTCAGCTCGTGGTGTGCAGCAGTCCCKCAAGTCCTAAAGCAAAGGGTGGGCTGTGCACAGGCACATTGCCCAAAGCAGCAGCAGCTCTGTTGTCAGAGCAGCTACACCCGCTGTCACCCACAGCCCGGCTGCTCTTCTGGAGCTCAAGTCTGATAGCCAGGTTTGGAAAATTACACTTTTACATCCACTCTCTTTCCAACCCTAGTTGTCACTGCTTTATGTTAAAAAGCTAAAACCTCTAAAGTACTGAGGGCGCACTCAATCCCCTTATCCAGATGATGGATAAACATATTCAGACAATCACAGAATATCCTGAGTTGGAAGGGACACACAAGGRTCATCAAAGTCCAACTCCTGGCCCTGTACAGACACCCCAACAATCTCACCCTGTGCCTGGAAGTGTCCAAATGTTCCTGGAGCTTTGGCAGCCTGGGGGCTGTGCCCACTGCCCTGGGGAGCCTGTTCAGTGCCCCAGCACCCTGTGGGGAGGAATCTTTTCCTGATACCCAACCCAAACCTGCCCTGACACAGCTTCAGGCCATTTCCTBGGGTCCTGTCACAGTCACAGAGAGCAGAGATCAGTGCCTGCCTCTCCACTGCCCCTCAGGAGAGAGGGAATACTCAACCCTCTTGTCACCATCSTCAAGCTCTTGACAGTCAAAACACTCCCTCACAACACAGGGTTCCCCCACTGCCTCTCCTTCCATGCCTGTTCCTTTTGAAGGATTTATGGCCACCCACTGCAGCATTCCAGTTGTCAGAGTCATCCCACCGTGTTTCTGTGATGCCAGCTGTATCCTAGTTTTCCTTCTACACCATAGCCTTTGGCTCCTCCTGTTTGTTTCCTGTCCTGTGTGCATTGGTGTACATGCAGTTCCATCAGGCTGATCCCACCACCTTTTTGGGGGGGAAAAGCTCTAATTTGTACGTGACCATTCTCAGGCACATCTGTTACTTTTAACACATCAATAACCTTTTCGTTTTTGTGTCACATGGATCTCCATCCCCTACTTCCATGGAGACGTACACAGCACCACTCCACTGCATCCCACGTAGCCCTAGCTACACACTGGCTGTGTAAATAACTGGGAACCTCTCACCCTCTCCTTCCCATCATCCCATTATTGTTGTCAGAATGGAAACACTGCATTAAGCTGTTTCTGGTTCAGTGAAGGGGCATTAGCTATCCAAAGGCAGACTGCATTTGAATTTCTTTCAAATGCCTCGTTAACCCTCTTCTGATGTACTCAGTTCACGATTATCCTGACGTTCTTTTCCAACAAGCATCTTTCTCTTTTGTGGAGAGGCACAAGCAGTAATGCAGAGCAGAGGATAGCTGAGCTGACCGAGCAGCCCAAGGTGTGTGGAGGGTCTGTGCACTGTGTGCTGTGCTGACACTGCTGCAGTGCTCTGAGACTCCAGGGACCCTGGCTTTCCTACAGCTTGTCCCTTTCTCCGTGTGCCTCACAGACTGTCTTCCTGCTGTCTTCTTGTAATTCATCACTGCAGCATTTCCTGCAAAAAAATAGGCCCTCACTGCCACTCCACAAGGTCAAGTCCTTTTTAGCAGAACTCCAGTGTGCACTCCACTTTCTCAGGGAAGTCATTGGTGTTCATGCAGTCCCAGCTACGCTTAGGTCCTGCAACTGTGTTTATTGTTGAAATCCTGATAAACCAAGATAACCAAGAGTTACCTCGTTACCCCCCAGCTGAGGTGTGAATGCTCACAATGGCATCAGGCACAGCATCTCTGTGCTCAGGAACCCCTTTGCAGCTTMTGGCCAGATGGCTTTGGTTGTGTTTTTATAATTGTTGGGGGTCCTGCTTTTCCTAGAGTAGGGCCTTTATGGGGCACATACTAAATAACTGTTGTTCCTCAATATAATTACTCAAAACTTTCCAGAAGTCTTATTTTAAGTGTCTTAAGTGCTAAGTTTAACCACCTTAAAGGTTTTAGGATCTACCCATTCTAGAGTAGCTGTGAGGCTTCTGAATGCTTTCTGCTCTGAAGTATGGATCTAAAAATTGATGCTCAAGGTTTTGTTGTGAGGCTTTCYGCTGCTTTCCAGAGCAGAGCAGCACTGGCACCACCAGAGCATACTCCACAAACAAGGTGTCACTGAGCCTTGTTTACTGGCTGAGGCAGTCAGCAGCATGAAATACCAAAATCTAGGTTTTTATGGTAAATGTAAGTGTCCAAGTGGTTCTGAATAAATGCTATTGAGAGCAGGGTCAGGAGAAGCAGCCGCCAGCCTTGCACCAACTCCTCACTGCTCCTGGGGAGTACAGGGTCACCAGCACGTGCCTGGCACAGCAGTGATGGTGCCAGAGCTGCAGCCACGCTGGCACACGATGCTGCTCTCGTGGAGGGACTGACCGTGTGCCCTGCTCTGCCCACAGCTCATCAGCGATGGCAGCGTGGTGTATGCAGAAGCCCTCTGGGACCATGTCACCATGGATGACCAAGAGCTGGGATTCAAGGCCGGCGATGTCATYGAAGTGATGGATGCTACCAACAAGGAGTGGTGGTGGGGGAGGATCCTGGACAGCGAAGGCTGGTTTCCAGCCAGCTTTGTWCGGGTAAGACTTGATGTTTCTTTGTGCCTCTCCATTAGCACYAGGTGTTTGTTCTTTTTCTCCAGGTTTAATGTTCTGTGGTGACTTCTCAGCACTTTTCCTGCCAGAGATAGTTGCTTCAGCATGTCTTGCTCCTATTCCTCTACAAGTGGCTACAGTACATGGTGCTGAGCTGAGCTGCCCCCAGTGTGGAGAACTCCCTCTGCATGAGTAAATCAGAGCAGAGGGTTCAGCTCCAGGCTGGAGCGGAGCTGAGCTGAGCTGTGCCAGCTGGGGACTGCCCTGCTTGGTGGTTTGCAGCCTGGCTCCTGCTTACCCATCTGTATATTGGCTGATTTGTGCCCAAGCACATGGCATCAGCTGCCAGGAGCAAGCAGCGCTCTCCTAAAGGGATCTCTTACGCAGTGGACAGAGCCTTCACTGCAGTGTCCACTTAGACAGGAGATGAGCGTGGCACCAGCTGCACTTCTGTCCCTCTGCTGCTGGGGCCAGTGCAATGCCACGTCCCAAAAATGCAACCACCTGACTCACACACACACCTCCTCTTAGCCCAGCAGGCTCTGGGCTATCACACAGCACCRCATTCCAGGCACTTCAAAAGGGAGAGAAAAACACAAAAAATGTGAGCTGTTATCTGGGGCAAACTGAGACACTCGGTGCTCTTGGGCCAAGGCTGTCCCTTGGTGTCAGCTCCAAAGCCCACACGGAAAGAGCTGTGCAGACCAGCCCAGACAGYCCCCACTGCACCCTGCAGAGGCTTCATTTCCAACAGAGCTTTCTGAAAYACATCTGAACTCTCGGGGCAGGTGGAGGGGAAAGCAGAAGTGTGGGAAGGTGGTAACTGCTGTGCCCCGCTGTCCTGCTGAGAGGAGAAAGACTTTTTTCCTTTCTCCTGACTGTGACTGGGGTGCCTGACTGCTTTCACCACCTAGGGGCAGGCTCTGCAGTGCTGCAAAGGCAATTAGGTGCCTCAGGGCAGAGATTCTCAGCCCTTTAGCTCTTTATCCAGGTCACTTCAGATCACAAGTGACCTAAAACCAGGTGAAGCATGAAAGGAGGTGACACAAGGTCAGCTGGTGTCTCTAGCAAAAGTCCTTGGAGAATTGGGACAATTTTGAAATGCTCTGTTATAGTTGCAGGAAATGGTCTCAGCTGGATAATTATTACAAACAGTGGAATGTTTGCAAGTAAGATTACCAAGACCAGTTACATCAGCACTGATGGGGACAAAACTGCTTTTTTTTTTTTTTTTTTTTTTTTTTTTTTTTTTTTTTTTTTTTTTTTTTTTTTTTTTTTTTTTTTTTTTTTTTTATGTTACTGGTAAGTTGAATTGTTGTCCTGGCTGGCAAAAATCCGTCATAATATCTAAGAGTAAAGCAGACTAGTCTGAGCCATTAGGGATGCAGAGTAAGAAATTCTTTTAGCAGTGTAATTACAACACTTATTCAAGCATCCAGGYGAAGATTTCCTGCTAATTACCACTGGCTGTCAAGCTCACTGCAGGGAGGGCTGGTATGTCTGGAGGCTTGGGTCAGTCTGCAGGACTCTCAGTCACTCCACATGAGATTCAGGCCAAGGTCTGAGTTTAAGAGTTACCGATGTCCAGCTCACAGTGAAGGAGAACCAGGATTGCACATCTTGAGGGCTTCAGCAGTGAGTAAATGTAATCTGTGCCTGTGCTGACAAGGGAGGGGTATRCACTGTTTTTTATGTGTAGGTGTATTTGTATCAAGTGGTAAATCATCAAGCCTATAAGTAGTAGTTATAAGTAAGTTACTTCCAAGTAACTACATGGAAAGTTTAAAGCAGTTCTGTGTCATTATACTAAAAATTGTGTGTTTTAACTTTAACTGGGACTGATCCTTTAGTCATGTACAAAGTATCCCCACGGGCACGGCGAGAGCTACAACAGCCCTACAAAAAAGGAAGCTCCGAAGTGAAATGGCCCAGAAGGTGCCAGCTTTAACTGGGCTCCTTTGCAGACTGGCACGGTGTGGCTGCAAACGCCGGTGCCTCTGCCCGTGCTGTGCTGCCATCTGATGGGGGGAGCCGTGAGTCCCACGCAGCCCTGCCATGCAGTGCCCTTCCTTCCCACGTTAGTCCCACTCGCTGTCTGATTTTACATTAGCAATGAACTCTCTTTAAATAATCCCGGGAAGCAGATACCGAGGGGCCATCTGTTACTGATAGCAGGAGAACAATTAAGCTAGATAAACCCCCAACCATTTACTGATTCTCCCTCCTCCCCCGAAGTGTCCTTCAAATATTTAAGAAAATTTCACTCGATAAACCATTTTTATCCTGCTTTTATATGTCTTCTTCCTGAAGGACTCCATATTATTTCTGTGACTTCGGTCCACAAGAAATGCCTGCTTAAATCCACCCATGTCACAGTGGGAGTAGCTGCCATGTGGCTTGAAAGTACCCTCCCAAAGTGACTGGCCTCAGCTTTCCCAAAGGGCAAATCTGTTTCCAGGCAATATACACACCCTCTTCACTTTATCTGAGCTCAGCCTTGGTCTGCCATTCAGTCGGTTGTCCCAAACTTCCTTGGCAGAGCTGTGTTTAGCAGTACAAACACTGAACATCTTGTGTGTCTGGCACAGCTGCGAGTAAACCAGGATGAGCCCATGGAAGATTATCCCCTGAAGGTGGAGGGGGGCAAAGAGGACGACTCCCGWCGCTTTGGGATGGGCCAGACCACCAAAGATCAAATGAGGACCAACGTCATCAATGAGATCATAAGCACAGAGAGGGACTACATCAAGCACCTGAAGGACATTTGTGAGGTAAGGAATAAAGGGGGAAGAGACTGTAAGAATTTGTGTGAAGGATAATGGGGTATGTCCCATTCTTGCCCAGAAAGGGACTCTATGAAGGTAACTTTTCTGAAAATGAGACTGTATTTCCATCAGTTCTGCTGAATGGCATTAGATGCTCAGAAAACAGAAGACAATTCATTACAGTGAAATCCCAAATGYCTCTGCATTTGGAGCACTCACTCGTGTTCTGATTAAATGGAATTAATTGAATTTCCCAAGCCAGAGAAAAGTAAATGTCTAGCATTGCTGTCCTCTCTAATATATGTTCCGAGGTAATAGAATCAGCAACTCCAGCCTTCAGGCAAGTCATGCTCAGCTCAAAACAACTGTGAGATGCTCAGCCAATTGGGTCCTTYAGTGCCAAATATGCTGAATATTGTGACACCTCTTCTAAAAGAATCCATCATATACACTGGGGGAGTGAAGGTATTTGGAAGCTTTGCAGAATTCTCCACTGAAATGGTACARCCAGCAGAGCCAGCAGGGGCAATGGGCACACACTTACAAAGAGGCCGCTGCTGCTGCAGTGTCCCCCATCCCTTGGTGCTCCCCTCTGCCTGGAGTCAGGCAGGCAGCTCCTCACACAGGCATCCAAACCAAGCCACAACTAGACTAACTGCTCTGAAACTACCAGTGGGTCAGTGCTGGGCTCAGAGCACCCCATTTCTGCAGACACATAAAGGGCTTTTCAGCAGGAGAGAAAGCAGTGCTGTGATTCCCTCAGGTCACCCTCAGTATCACCCAGGGCTGCCTGAGTCCATGGTGGCTTCTATTTCCACCATGGTTAGAGGAAACAACAGTTAAACAGGGTACATCTCTGCAGGAAGGGAATACAGGAACCTGCTGWACACCTGACTGCACTCCATGGGGCTTTCTGCTGCTACAGAGCAGACGCCCAGGAAGGTTTCCAATCTGTTTTTTTCCTAGGGTTACATTAAGCAGTGCCGCAAGAGAGCAGACATGTTTACGGAAGAACAGCTGAAGACAATCTTTGGGAATATTGAGGACATCTACAGGTGCCAGAAGAAATTTGTTAAAGCACTAGAGAAGAAATTTAACAAAGACCACCCACATTTGAGCGAGGTTGGCTCATGCTTCTTGGAATATGTAAGTAAATTTGACTTCTTTTGAAAGGGGTAGCTGAGCATAGATTAGGCGGAGGATTTAGAAATTGATCTGACAGAAGTGAAGCTTTCTTTAAAAAAACCCACCCAACCAAACTAAATGCCACYACCCCCCACCCGGGCCCTATTCAACCACCCCCCACTCCCCAAAGAAATATTCTGTAGCTCTTGTGGCTGTGCAAAAAGCATTTTCAAAGCACCTCATCCTCTGAACTCTAATTCCTGCCAGACCTTGGTACTTCAGGCAGAAATGTAGGAAGAGTCCAACATCTTAAGCAGGAGCTGAGTTTGCCGTGATGGTGTTTTCAGTGCAGGATCAGCTGTGGCTGGTGTGGGCACTAAGAACATTCAGCTGAGCCAGAGCAGGATATGTGGGAATGTCTGGGGGTCTCAGATGAACTGCAGGTGCTGACCTGGAACACACCCTGCCCATTCTCAGCTTTAGGTCTCCGGGCKTCAGAGCCTGGGGAGGATACAAATWACCAAACAGTTCCCTGTGTAGGGAGCACACAGGAGTAAATCCCTCCCTTTCCCTTACAGCAAACAGAGTTCCAGATCTACTCTGAGTACTGCAACAACCACCCCAACGCCTGCATGGAGCTGTCCCGCCTCACCAAGGTGAACAAGTACGTTTACTTCTTCGAGGCCTGCCGCCTGCTGCAGAAGATGATTGACATCTCCCTGGATGGCTTCCTGCTGACCCCTGTGCAGAAAATCTGCAAATACCCCCTGCAACTGGCCGAGCTGCTCAAGTACACCAACCCCCAGCACAGGTAGGGCAGCCAGGGGGAAAAGGAGGGGGGATGACCAGGCTGCTCTCATGGAAATGGACTCTGCTGAGTCTTGGATGGAGGGCAGTGGCCAACAGCAGCCAACACCACAATGCTTATGGGTTAGCTTGTAGAAGACTGGAAAAAAAGCTATTCTAATGTTAAATACATAATTTTCCACTACAGTAGCACTGAGTTTTGCTGTCACAGATTGAGAGTTACAAGGTCCACTTATTTTATAATGGCACTTTTCTATTTTTTTGGCTCGTGTATCTGTGATACCAGCACACACTCACTTTGRAGCTACATGATTCTGGTGGTGGTGTTGAAAATTTTACCTCCAAAAGCACTAGTTAAATATATCCAAAAATGTCCACATAGCTACACCTCACCAGTGGYAACTTGTGCCCTGCAGTAGTCAAGCCATGCACGCTTGGTGCCCCATCAGTGCCTGCTCCAAAGCCTCCAAATCCATTGCTCAGTTTAAGGGTGAAGGCACTGCCTTTGGCTCAAATAACTGTCACTTAATTAGGTATCTGAAATAAAACGTGTTGATGTTGGCCCCTTGTGGCTTGATTTAATTTCACCTTCCTAATTGCAGTCCTGGTACTTCCCAGAATGGTTTTAAGCATGTCTTGTTAAATCTCTAGGYATGTTGTGTGAAGCTGATCTCGGAGCAGAAAGCTCCTTAATGAAGTGCACAGATGTTTTGAAAGTTGCTGTAGAGCTGAGCTGTTCAGCTCAGCTCCTCCCCAGCTGCTCTGAACTCAGCAGTAGCTGGTGGGGGAGGGTAGATCAGCCTCTCACCTACCCTGCCATGGGCTCCTGTTTGAAACAAGCCACTTACTGTTCAACTGCTTCACCTCTGCAGCCCCTGCATGGAAATATGTTGTATTATGTTGCAGAAAGAAAATGAGACGTGGAAAGCCCTGGAGGTTCTTCCACCAATTTGTATTTACACTTCTGTAGCTAAATTTGATTATATACCCCCTTCCCAACACCTGGCCTAGATTTGTTACCAGACCATGATCTGTGCCTCAAAACCAGCCTGTGTCTGAGAAGCTGCTACAGGAACAGRTGCCTCTGATTCCAGGCCAGAATAGCTGGGACAGACTGCAGGTGGAACTCCTGGTTCCAGTCCCCAGCTCCTCTCCTGTGAGAGCAGGGACAAATCCCCATGTGCCATCTTGTCAAGCCTAATGCCTCTGCCCCTCCCCAGGGATTTTAAGGATGTCGAGGCTGCCTTAAACGCMATGAAGAACGTGGCTCGGCTCATCAACGAGAGGAAGCGGCGGCTGGAGAACATCGACAAGATCGCTCAGTGGCAGAGCTCCATAGAGGACTGGGAGGTAGGTGACTTCCCTGCCCCAGCAAKCAGTTCTTCCACCTTGTTCCTCTTCTGCCCCTCCAACAGTTTGTCCCTGCAGTGAGATCTCACTGTTTTGTCCTAGTTCAGCTCTCTGCCTGTCTTCCTGGGGAGCTCTTTTATTTTTTATTTAAAAGATATGATCTTTTAATACAACTGAGCAGGTCTAGCACATAACCCGGCTTGACCAGCTGCCATTGCGTGTTTCCTGGGAGTTTTGCTTCCCTGTTTTTCTTTGGAGAATGAAATCAGCATGTAGGTTAGTGAAATTCTGTTACTTTTCTCCTGCCCCCCATTTTATCTTGTGTGATTTTAAACTCCCAAGATGAGCAGAATTTCCCCTTAATTCTTAATAAGCCAGGTTATTGCTGCGGAAAGGCAAGCTTTGGCATGGTGACAGAGGAAACCAAGGTTCCCTGTAGACTCATTAAAAAAAAACTGCTAAATAAAATAAACAGAATACTAATTTTCTAAATTTTAGCCTCAGTAAGTAATAAACTGTCTGCCTGCCCAAGGATGTCAGGTTAAATTCTTAGCTCCCTGCTTATGTGCCTCCTTTACGTCTGAGATGGAGCAGCTTCCCTGAGAAGACTCCCTAGAAAAGGAGCTTTTTTTAAATTTACCATGCTATTGTTCTTACCAAATTTAGTTCCCATTCCCTGAGTGCCAAGGGCACAGTGTGTCCCTGATGTGACAAGGACTGTCCTCCAGCACAGAGGCTGTCACTCCCAGAGGAGTTCTGTCTGCAGGAATTGAGGCGCCTGAGCCAAGCTGAGGCTCTCCTGTGAGGCTCCTGCTTTCAGATGGCTGAGACCAACCCGTTCTTTGTGCTCTTCCCAGGGAGAAGATGTCCTAGTCAGAAGCTCAGAACTCATCTATTCTGGGGAATTAGCCAAAATCTCCCACCCTCAAGCCAAGAGCCAACAGAGGATGTTCTTCCTCTTCGATCACCAGCTTGTCTGCTGCAAGAAGGTAACCCATGAATGCTGGCTACTGCTGTGCTGATGGATTTAAGTGAGCTCCCTCTCCACCCYACTGCTTCCTTAATGCTTCCTGGCCTCATATGCTCCTGGCACAGAGCCTTCTCTGTGCATTCCTTGCAGTCTTTTYTCTGAGGTCCTGGGGGGTTCTGTGCACCTGAGCATGGCAATCAGATACTGGCCTAATTCTCACAGCAAAAGAGGAAAGCACTGCACTGCTTCTGGGGTTAGTGTGGGGTTATTCTATACAGCTCAGTCATGAGTGTTGTCACACAATTTCTTTTAACTACCTTGTTTTTCAACTGCACTTCCACCTGAGATTTTTCAGAAATAACTGCAGCTTTGATGAAGAGCTGTGGGCAGTCAGTAAGGCCATGTTAACACCACATGTGGGTCTGTAAGTACAGCTCATGCTATTTTTCATAAGCTGAGTAATAAAAGAAATCTTCCTTCTTGGAGCCAATGAAAAGTATCTTCCTCTGGAATTTCAGAACTGAATGTGCCAATTATTCTTTGTGTATCCCATGGCATGCAGGTAGCTCCAGGTAACCTAGGCATGAAAATCACTGTTCTCAAAGTTCCTTTTCATTGTCAACAAAACAAAGCAAGAGCGAGTTAGGTTTTTTTGGTTTTGGTTTTGGTTTTTTTTAACTGGAACTGAAGGATCCAAATCATGTTTTTTGACAAAGGTTCAATGAGGATTTGGGATCATGTGTAATACCCACACTTGCTTTTCATTCAGGGCAGCTGATGGGTCCCAGCACAGACAGCAGCCTGTCCTGACCCGTGCCAGAACAAGYCATGTGGTTCCCAGCAGTGCCCACAGCAGCTCAGCAATTCCACAGATTCCAGTATTCATTTCTTTTACAGGACTGTAATGATACCAGGAATATTAAACTCTCCAAGAAACAGCAACATCTGTTGTGATCTCTCTTCCAGGACCTTCTGCGCAGGGACATCCTGTATTATAAGAGCCGCATCAACATGGATGACATGGAAATACTGGATGTAGAAGATGGGAAGGACAAGGACTTCAATATCAGTGTCAAAAATGCATTTAAACTGCACTGCCGAGACACTGAGGAAGTCCATTTATTCTGTGCAAAGAAGCCTGAGCAGAAACAGCGCTGGCTGAAGGCATTTGAGAATGAAAGGAGGCAGGTGCAGCTTGACCAGGAGACAGGTATGAAAGGAGCAATGCTGGGAGAATGGAGGTTTTTTTCATTATTATCGTTATTATTTTTCGGTTTTTATCTTTTTTTACCTGGCCAATGCCTGGGAAGTGAAAGGGAGGGGAAGGCACCAGTGCAGTCCATGTGAAGTCCATGCTCCAGTGCAGCTCTGAGCTGCTGAATTGCACATTCCRAATGAATCTGTGCAATTAAAAATCTTCAAATCATCACAAGCTGACACTGCAATGTGTCCTCAGGAAGGCTGATGTGTCTTAAAGAGTTCAAGTAGGGCTGACAAAACAGTCAATCTCTTACATGCATGCCCCAGAAGAATGTGAGTGCCCAGCTTGTATCTATACAGAACAGGTTCAACCAAGSGTTCCCACTGTGCAAGAAGGTTTGTGTTGTTTTGTCCAAATCCTTCTTAATTCAGCCTGGGGTGATGGTGTAACATTCAGCCACCACAGGCCTGGCCTGGCTTCTCCCCCCAGTGAAGCATGGGCTGAAGGGCAGCTGGGGGGCAGTTGTRCAGCACAGCATAGACCAGGAGGAGCACACTGTGCCCTTCCAGCCTTGGCAGTAATTGTGCCCTCTCACCTCAGGCATTTGCCTACCCCTGTGTGTTCCCCTGAGGTACCAAATGATGACCTGCTGCCGACAAAAATCTGCTTTATTTTCCAGGTTTTTCAATCACAGAAGTGCAGAAAAAGCAGGCAATGCTGAATGCCAGCAAACAGCACCATGCTGGGAAGCCCAAGGGTGAGTCACACCTGAACACAGGGAGAATGGGGGGTGGCTCTGGATTTACTACATGGGAGTAGTTTCAATGAAGTAGCATTAACAAACTCTTGAGAAGGCCAGATGGTGAGCTCTGGTGTGACAATCTGCACTACAATTCCTGATAGATTCAGATGGTTGGAGTCAGAAGACTGTTTCTAACTCCAGGGGTGCCACTTTGCAAATAATCAGCACTGTGCCAAAACCCAGCAGCTTCTGCTCCAAGGCCAGKGCACAGCCTCTGCCCAGGAGCCAGGCTCTCCCAGCAGTATGGCATTCCCTTTGGCAAAAGGCAGGTTGTGTAGCAATCCCCATGAAGCACAGAGAGCCACAGGAGTCACTGCAGCAGGGACTGTTCCTGCCTGGGCAGTGGTGCCTGGGGAAGATGCTMTGAAACCTGCAACTTGGGCAGAGTGCCAGGGGTAGGTACCATGATTGAGCAGGGCTCAAGCCAGCAACCTGTTCAACCTGTCAGAGACAAGGACAGTTAGCAGCAGCTGGGGGAGATGAAATCAGGCAAAAAAAGGGAAGGTTGCTGTGCCCACAGCACTGTTGGCTGAAGAGAGCCACGTTGATACCACCTTCCCCTTCTCTCTGTRCAGAGGAAGAGGCATCACTTGGTTTCCTCTGGACCCGCAGAGGCAACCACTTCCTCTTGGTGGTATCAGCCAGCACTTAAAAGTGCAGCCACATCTCCASAAAGCAAGCTTGGCTAAATGTCAAAATGGGTCAGAAATAAGATTTGGCTGCAAATGGGGAAGTTTGTAAGGAGGCCAGACCACACTAACAGAGCTGTGCCCTTGAGGCACAGCACTGGATGAGACTGCACAGACCAGCCTTGCCCACCAGGCACACACTGACTATTCCTGCTCGGAAATGCAGCCCAGGATGTGATAACAGGCACCAGCAGCACTTGTGCAGCAGCTGTTTCTCCCAGCATAGCCAAAAGCACCAGTTAAGTTTGTCACACGTCACAAGCTGCAGGTCTTTAGCCCTGCTACCATGTTGGCAGAACACCTGCCAATTGTTTAGCACATTTCTGGGCYTTCCACAGCATCAGCTCTAATCCTAAGAGGCACTGCTGAAAGTAAGGATAAACTAAAGGAAGGGTGACACTAGGACAAACACAACTTGCAGCCCTACAGCTTTAATGGGGACTGGGGAGACGGTAGAATGCAGGGACAGGAGCTGTGTCCAACTAACGTGCTTCCCATCTGCTCCTCCTCCCAGCTGTCACCAGGCCCTACTACGACTTCCTGATGCGGCAGAAGCATCCCACCCTGCCCACCACGCTCCCTCAGCAGCAGGTCTTCATGCTGGCAGAGCCCAAGCGCAAGCCCTCGAACTTCTGGCAGAACATCAGCAGGCTGACACCCTTCCGGAAATAGGGGCAGCCCCTGTTTGTGCCTGAACCCCTTCTGAGAAAGCACTTTATCTGTCAGTCCTGGCAGGCGGAGCCCAGGTTCATCCAATCCTTTGTTTACAGAGGATGGCACATGTGCTCCTGCCTCCCCTATTTATTTTCAGCCSGACTGACCGTGCTGGCTCCCAGTGAGGCCGCTGGTGCCACGGAGCCAGCCCYGCACAGCGCCCGGCAGGCAAAGCTCCAGGAGTGCAGCAGGGAGACACAAATGCTGCAGCCCAAGAGATTTTGCTTGTCAGCTCTACTTGGACTCACTCCTTCCTGCTGTGCCCACCACTGCTGGCTGGCAGATGTCACAGGGGATGGCAGCTGATGGACCCACTGGCCCCGTGGCCACTGCTGTGCTCAGAACAACAGTTCCAAGTCTATGATGAGGAGGGATAAACCCTTCTGCTCTGCCCACCCCCATGCYCCACATTTCTCAGAGACAAGATCCTCCTCCTTGTGTCCAGCTAACTCAGCAGCCTCTGCAGGCACTCAGAGCACAGTGARCACTGCACTGTGACCTCCTCCCTTCCTTTAGTCCAACACCACCGGTGAATGGTGTCCTACATTAAACTGTGCCAACCTGCAGCATGAGTCAAGTTGAAGAGTCTCTCCTAGTGGGTTTGAGTTACATAAGTTAGAGAAAAATGTGCCTAATTAATACCATACTCAATTCCTTAGATTCTCGTCTCTCCATCATTCTGCCATATTTCCTGGCCAATGAAAATGCTCCTTGTTTGTAATGTGTTTATTTATGGTAAAAATCAGAACTGTGTATTTTGTAAGTCTGTAATTGTTCTTGTCAGATGTTGTTAACTTGATGCCTGTTTTGTCTGTTTAATTTTTCTTTTTTTTTTTTTTTTAAAGAAAGGTCAATATTTGCAAACCTAGCTCCCAGAAGTCAGAGTCTGCTGTTCAGCTCTGAAAYGTCATTGTTATGCAAACTCCCACAGACCCTCAAATTCAAGGAGTGTTACTGACACTTTTAAAAATGGAAAACCACTTTTAMAAGCCTAACTTTGGCATAAAGAGCCTCACTTTAAGTACCCAAGTTTCAAACTGTGGCCAAAAAGAATGAATTTAGACCTTGGTTAGCAAAAGGAAAGATTTGCCTTACCATAGTAAGAGTTAGAAGCCATACTGACTGAATTCCCTAGCKTAGGAGACATCCTGTGACAGTGGAAGAACATCTGCTCATTACAGCTCAAGTGTGAGTGAGCACTAACTGTCTGCAGAGCTCAGAAATCCAGTGTTTGTTGATGCTGTAGCTGACCAAAGTCTGGTCATCCAGGGATATCTGAATTCAGTAGCATGTACAAAGTCCTTCTTGCACTATATCTTCCCCCCAGACCAGGGGCAACATTTAATTTCATAAAGAAACTTGTAAAAGTGACTCTCAGCCTGTGTTTGTCTCCAGCATGTCTATCTGTGTGAACTCGTTTCTTTTCAAAGTCACTGTGGGGCTGTGCTCTTGCAGCTCCATAAGTGGCTGCTGGCCAGAGGCCGTGCCAGATGGTGACACTCAGAGCAGCCACCCTGCYGAGGGACAGGGGGACACTGGGACCTGACCAGAGGGGTCACACTCTGCTCTGGAGAGGACACTGGGTCAGTGCTGGGGAGGGGGCAAAAGGAAAAAAAAGTAAAAATCACTCTGTAAGAAACCACCGAGATCAGGCAGCTAGAGCAGTATTAGCACAATGCCCTTTGCAACAGACAGACACACAGACATACCTCTCAGAGGGACACCGAAAGACAACCAGAGACACCCATGGCCCAGCAGCCACACTGAGGCACTGGCAGGTGTGTACAGCCACAAGGGACAGACACCCACACGACACCTACAGGGGGAGATGGTGACACAGACACAYGTCAGACAGCTGCAGCCAGCACCACTCAGGAACAGATGGCAATTGTCATTTCTGTGTTTACCCTAAGTGTCTGCACCCTCCTTTCCTTATCSATGGCATGTTTGTTTTGATTGGCCAGGAAGAAAACCTGTTGGCAACTAAAATGATCGATTTTCTGAGCTTACCATTAGCTTTGTAGTAAGTGGAGGGGGTTAGGAGGGCAGAGGACAACGCCCTCCCCAGCACAGACACAGGATCACACTCCACACCTCCACGCTAAGCACCAGCTGTGACAATGCATCAGGTCATCGTCAAATTGCTCATGGTCTTGTCCAGTTGCTGTCTGGGTACACTCAAGGATGGAGATTCTCCCAAAACTTTACATCCCTGCTGAAAACTACTCTGTCCCCCAGTGTGAATAGTCAAAGCTCCCCTTGCTGCAATGTCTGATCTGGTTTTAGACAGAATGTTACTAAATATATTCAGCTTWACCTCTACAATGAAGTCACTCCGGTAGAAATCCTCGCCTCTTCTGAGGGAAATGGGGTGACACAGCACAGGACCCTGGACTGCAGTAGCTGTGGAGTGCAACAACAATGCCCCTGCCCTCCCTCCCCCGCTGAAACACACACAAGAATTGGCTACTATTAATTACTTGTGTAGCTATACTCTGAACAGTAAATATACATCAAGTGGTTAAAAGTATAATTTACCAGCTCTTCCAGAACCAGCTTAATCTCTGACCAGCGTACACAAAGGATTTATACAAAAATACTTGTTTTTACAGAAATCTTTCCAAGTGCCAAACCAGACTTCTCTGGCCAGACAGCATCCCAGTGGATGGACAGTCACTACTGCAGGAATTCTAGTCTCCACTTGACTCTCAGTACTTTCTAAAAATTGTCCGGAGTTGGGATTCTATCTTGCATGCCACATTTGGAGCTAGTATCCAAMCCCCTATGCACGACTGAGATCAGGTAAAAAAGCTGATCACACAGAAAGTGGTGGAGTTACAGCAACAACACTGAGAAACAGGTAAGGCTCAAACCCATTGTGCTCAACACCCCMCAGCACAGGCTGCTTTGAAGAGGATTTCATCACTAAACACCATCCTTTGTTAAACACCCCGCACCACTTCCTGACTCTCACCACAACCCTCAGTGTTTCCTGAACAAACTGTCACAGATCATGTGCAACCTCCTTAGGTTTTAAGTTATTAGATACTCAAAAGTCATCTCATCCCCCAAGTTACTCATTAAATGGCAAAGTGTACCTGTGTGTGAGATGGTGGTAACAGATTAACCAGCCCCAGATTTCCCTCCTGCTCCCCTGGCATCTGCATTTGGACTGGAGCTGCTCCCATTGTTCTGCCAATGAACTGTACCAGGTGAACTCATGAGCACGCCAGAGCAGGTGTGTGCACAGTGAGCACATCCACAAGGGCTTCAGTTAAACTTGTAATAATGAAGTTTCTGTCATATGAACAACAGGTCAACTACAGCCTCTGAAAAGCTCTAAGCTAAATGGACAACACCAGCATGCCAGTTGCACAAGAAATGCCCACTTGAAACATGAAGAATCAGCTGGGAGACATCAGCACTCTACTCTGGAGCTGAAACTTCAACAGGGGCCAGAAATGCAGATTTGGATACAAAACAAACTGAAGCTCCTGACATGAGTCTGAATAACACCAATCCTTCTGGATTGCAGTGTAGATGCAGCCAAAATACTCAGAAAATCAGTTGTGCAATGAGTTACACACAGAAGACAAAGAGATTTTGTCAGGGGTGRTTTTTGTTAGGGGTGTTGGCTCTATCTGTTCCTCTTCTTCTGTAGCTATTTATTTAGGAAGCTTCTTGTAAAAACAGCCATGTTTCTTAATGAGCTAAATCTGCCCAGATTTCACTTGTTCAAATAAGACACAGATTATGTAAAACACGTCAATCAATTAAAAAGAGTAACTTCCTGAAGCTTCCAGTTAAGAGAACCAGTGGATGCTAAATGATGTAATTTCTTAACTATCAGTTTAGAATAACTGATTCAGACACTCTGGGTGTATACACTGTTCAAGTTCTAACATAAAAACCAGCACAAATTAATTCCAAGTAACAACCAGATCAATTCCCATGGAGAGAAAAGTTCCCCCAAAGCAGCTTTTAATACCTTTGCTGTTTTGTCCATTCCCTGAAGGACAGTGGGTATCAGGTGGGGAAGAGTTCAATCTGTGTCAAGCGGAGTCCATGACTTCAAGTCCCCTGCAGGAGATTTCCCCCTGTCCAAGACACTGCTCTGCACACAAAGCCAGCACAGCACTCTTTTTATCCTGGAGCCAATGATGTTCCAACCACCTGCACCTGGGTGTGCCAACAGCTTCCCAAAAACACCTGAAAACCAGGCCTCACTATAAACAGCAGGGATAATCAAGGCACCTGTGAGAAACAAGAGAACCTCAGCTTCAGACTGAAAATGCTACATTTCTTGGGATGCCCAAATGGCAGAAATCATTTTAAAATGAAAAGGCCTTTCACCTGGTATGTCAAAATATCAGGCTGTGCTCCTCCAAATTGACTGTAGTGCAAGCACATCTTCATGTAATGGAAGAATTTAAAAAGTCTGCAGCAAGGTTAGTATGCAAGTAAGAGTCTTTTAAACTGCACCACTGACCACCTAGACTCTGGAGAACAGGCAGAATCTGGGAGGTGGGGCAGCACCCAGCTAGTGCTAGTTTCTGCTTTACTGTTATTACTTCAATCATCATAATTCTGTCAAGTTTCACCACATACCTGCTCATGAGGTCAGTGGACATTTGGACCATTTGGACAGTGAACATGGTAGAACAGCAACTCCTAAAGCTTTAAGGAGGGAACTATTCACACCTCATYCAACTGCTGGAATCTCTGCCTGTGCCTGCTGCTACTCACATTCTCCACCAAAGTGAGCAGGACTTGCCACKGCTACTGACATCAGCAGTACCACTRGTACTAGCCAAAATATTAACTGTAATGTCCTGTACCAGCCTACCAGCAGAAACTCCCCATCCCAGAGYTCCCAGCCTAAGCCTAAAGCTGTAGGGTCAGGTCTTCAGGTAAGTAATGGGTGAAGAGTAAGAACTCTGATAGTGGATAAACAATAATTAAAAAAATGACAACTGTTTTCAGCTGATTTTAACCCCCTGAARGCACGGTGGTGTTTTCAGTTGGACAGTGCAGGGGAGGGAATCAATCCTGCAGGCCAGAGAGACAAATCAGTGCCACTTGTGTCAGAGTGAAGGCAGTGCAAAGGTGGCAGACAGCAGTGTGACCTGGCACGAGTCAGAAACGCCTTCTGCACACCCCTGGCTACACAGGGCATGGCACCACAGCTTTCAGAAGGGCAGCAGCCTGGAGCCACTTGCCTTTCCACTCACAGCCACACAGCTGCAGGCTCTGCAGAAGCCAAAGGGTGCTCCTTCCAGCCACACAGCAATCCCAGCTTGCCCTGCCTTGGCATTAACACCTCACACCACACTTCCCTTCTCCCATCTCTCTCACACGTTTCCTTAATGAGCTACATTACTAAAATCCCATGGCTTTGGTAGTGCTGGCACTTCTAGGAAAARTGCAGGTTGCTTGTTCTTTTTGCTTAACACTCCTGTCATGTTTCCCCCTGCAATTACACCTCTCCTCTCCGCACATCCTGAGCTTCTCTTTTGCACAAGTTTGCTACCAAAGCAGCTCCCTGTTTCACAGCCTGTGCAAATGAAATACCTGTGGTACTTACCCCAGAGCCATGTACCTTTGTGTGTGACTGCTTACATTTACAGTTGTGAGGTGGGAAATAAACAAGCTATCAACTTTAAGTCTTGTATAATTCTGTAATCCTCCCAGAAAGCATTAATTACTGACTGCAGCACCAGTCTTTGTATCTGCCATAACCCCACAGAGCTACCTAACAGCATTCTGCTTACAAGTTCCTTCTATCATTMCACACCTACTTCTTTCCCTTTTCTCCTCAGCAACACCTACCCATCACCC